CTGATTGGTTGTTTGGAAACCAATAGGAACTCAGTTCTTAAGAAAATGGGCCCGAACACTTATACTTTCAAAAAAATAATTGGACAAGGGGTTTTTTAGAGGTAGTGGGTTCGAATCTGGGGTTCATTCGTCTCGAAATCTGATTGGCTGTTTGGCAACCAACAGGAATTCAGCCCGTAAGAAAATGGACTCAACCACTGATACTTTCATGAGAATGACGAGGCAGGGAGTTTTAGACGTGATTAGTTAGAATCTGAGGATCGCTCGCCTCGAAATCTGATTGGGTGTCCGAAAGCCAGTAGGAAATCAGCTTTCATGAAGCCAGCTAATCAAAATTATGTGGTCAAGAGAAGAGTTAGTTAAGGGCTTTCTGAGGCAATGAGTTCAAATAAGGGATTCAAGTACTGAATATGAGTATAGGGTATGGAAGCCCGTTTCTTCTTCTGTTTATACAAACAACGACGTCTGTTTTTCACTTCTTTGTGCATTTAATGTCGGTAATAACTAGCGCCATCAAACTTTCTCTGGCATCCCCCTTAGTCTAGAGAAAAATTGAGACGAGATTGACGCGACAAGCAAGGAAAGAAAGGCAACTGGGCCTAACTCTACCCAGGTTGTAAAAGTAAAAAATTCCTTAATCTCTATCTTTATCTTTAATGTACGTTACGAAAAAGAATTCTGTCAGGCTGTGCAAAGAGTGACCATGTATTCATACCGGGAACAGTCATGGCTCTTACTGATATACCGTTTGAGTATAAGCGTCTTCAGTTATCTATACCTGCTGCTTTCGCGATGTCTAGCAACAACGCTGAAGAGCAATTGTTTAAGGTGGCTGGTATTAATCTAGAGAGTACTTCCTTTCCTCATGATAAACTGAACGTAGTATGCTTAAGAGTTGGAATTGGAAAGAATTTCTATGTTTTAGCCCTTGATACGAAAACCAAGAAGTTTGTGTATCAAACAGCTTTGCAAAGGAATTTGTATTTCATTAAAGAGTCTTTTATAATAAAAGAAGTCGATCAAACAAAAAGAACACTGAAAAGGATAGAAATGTTTTTAAAAAAATTAAAAA